TTCGGAACTTTTTGATAACTGTGCTATTTTTTAGAATGGTAGGAAGGTGATTATATACTTTAATACTTTCATAAATCAGAGAATGCCGAGTCAAGGTGAATTTTGGAATAGGTAAGTAAAGCATAAGGTTCTGTCTGGTGTTGTGACAATTTGTTCCGGGAATGAACATGCTAGTTTTATTTTTCTGAATTAAGCATACTGTTTACATTATGTATAAACAGGTGACAGTTAATATTTTGTGGCTGATGAATAAAGGCTTGCAGTGATCTCTCGGCTTAGACTTAAGGTATCTCAACGACCTCTTCCTTAGCTTAAATATTGTATTCTGAAATTGTAAATTAATTAAATTTCTGTTGATCTTCATGTTCAAAACCGCTCAACTCGACAGCAACAAACATTTTACGTACCATTTTATTGTTTGAACCACAAATTCAATAGCCGCATTTCAAGAATCTCACGATTAGCCAATAGTAACATTGATCTTGAGATGTTTAACATCTCCTTGCATCATTTTAAAACTCAATTACGGAATACTGTGCTTTAATGTTTTAGTGTATAGTAGTATATGTTTTATTGTCACTCATTGTTTTTTGTCGTTTTATACTCTAAAATTAACCCCTTTTTAAACTTTAAATTTACCCCTATTAAGCTATTCTTAGTTGGAATTTGTAATTCAGTATCTTATCTGATTTTATTTTAATTATAATTCAACATTGTAATTTATACTTTAAATGGGCTTGCCTGTAAATAAATGAATAAATGAATACATTTAAAAAATATATACCATCAGAATGATGACATCCCAAGTACACCTTTGAATTAGTTCTGAATAGTTTATATGTCGACATGCTTTCATACTTCAATTATGAAATGTCAAATTTTACATTTGTTAATTTGAAAGGTCTGTGATGTATACTGTGATGTACCATACAATATTTGTTTAATGTTATGATGTATTGTTTCAATTACTACTTATATGTAACAAAAAATTGAATGGAAAGTATAATTCAATTTACATTTTCACTGATTGCTATTGCTAAGAAATTATTGTCCATGAAAAAAATTGATGAACAAATACTCCAAAGAACATTACCTACTATACACTCTTGTGTATAGTAATGTCACGATATATACTTTTTTTGTGAATATGATGCTTCGGAAGTACTAATTCGCATCTTCAGCAATCCTTTTTAAACCAATGATTAAGTTACAATTCAATATCTCGATACAGTACTCTCTCAAAATGAAAGCACTTATGAAAACACATATCTATAGTTGCCATATTCTACGAATACTCTGCCTTTAATTTACTTACATTCGACATCTTTCAGCATTCCTTGCAGCTCCAGCTTAATGTCTGACAGTCTACTGCGAGTCCTCACATAAATGGTATGTACCAACAGCCTCTCCATGGACAATACCTCAGATCGTATAGCCCTGTCAGCAATTTCACTTTCCTGAAATTGTTTCAATCAAATCTAACCTTCCAACATTATACGCTTACTGACCTTATATCCCAAGGAAGGAATATGAATGACTGCCAAAGGTCGCGCTGGATCGTGAACATCCACTTGAACAGAAAGTTTATAACCTAATTCAGATCTCAAATCCTTGTTGGACATTTCTTTGCCTTTGCTGGTCAATTCCCTAAAACAAACATATGCAATTTTCATAAAGAGTTTAAGATAATTTTATCTTCCCAAAGTCTTGTTGGTATTCAAAATATCTTATGCGGATGTATATCAAGCTGAACTCCTGTACCCAACCTCTGTTGAAATAAGAGAAAAAATCAACTCACCTCCAGTAAGATACCGTCAAACATTTTCCTGGAACATATTCATCGACATGGATGTGGTCATCGAGGCGATCCCTCATCAATCTGAGCGTTTGCGAATAGAGCACTTCCAGCTGCAGAGATTGACAAAAATGGTGCAAAAAATTGTACACTTCCGTCAGTGGTTGTGGATTGTCCACCAACCGGGTCTGAATAAGTTGGTGAATGAACTGAACTTGCAAGGAGTGGACTAGAGCTTTTCCATCTAAAAATTGTTAGTTCAGAAATAAGAGTATTGTGGAAATTGAAGCATAAGTACCTCCAGTCTCTTTGTCTTCAACCAGGATATCAATTTCTAGTAGCCTCCATGGAATATTGGGCCCGTCTCCCATAACGGTTAAGGCAACTTCAAACTCGTGCTCGACACGAAATGTTACCCTTCCATTTTCAATCTGAAATTACAAAAAAGTATAGCTCTCTTCAACGATCACAACAATTTATTTTCAAGAGGGTGGATGTAAGTGAAAATGTTTAATGAAAACATTGGAAAGTTATCAAAATTATCCCTATTTCTATAAATCTTTGAAATATTGTATTAAAAATTATATTGTTTGACTAATCGTTAAATCACATTACTGCCATTTGACAGGTTCTATAAAATTAAAGTGATTTATCTGTAGAGTTTACATGATTTATAATATTTGTTTATTTCAAATACTGAATTTTTTAAATTTACTTCTCTCAAATAGTTAGGTTTGGTTAGGTTAGGTTCAAAGTGAATGTGTCTATTCGATCCTCCACCGCAACCCGCAAGGGTTTATCGTGGCTCACACCTATTTACATTCGACCAAATGAAACCAGCTTCTTAACGAAGCCGATTAGTTTTTATGGTTAGTGGTCTTTCAGGTCAGATGGTTAGAGTACGGCTCTGCCGAACTCTAAAAACCTGATTCGGTCCCCAGCGGGGCAGGCACAGAGTATGTGCTCTGCTGTTTCATCATTTTACAAACAGAGGCGACACACACTGTCTTCCGACAGTCCAAGTCTCTGCTTATGATGATTCAAATGACAGTGACCTGTAAGAAGGCCTGTTAGACATCATAGTTCATCCCTACTGTAGTCCAACAACTGTTTGGTATCAGGCTTCGAAGGGTGAATAAACGCTTTGGAGTGAGCCAATCCTGGAAAATTCTGCCAGAAGTTCATAAATCCTCTTGCCATCCAGGTGTTCAATGTTTCTTTGGCAAAGCCTAAAGCGATGCCAATGACAGGTTCTGGTCCAATGAAGCTGCTTGCAGCACCCTCCTTTGCAAGGGAGTCAGCAGCCTCATTGCCTTCCAGGCCAGTATGGCCAGGAATCCAGACCGGAGACAATCTGTTAAGTATTTCTATCGAGGAGAGTCATTTTTGGCTATTTGCTACCAATTTAGACGTTGCTCGGTTGGAGTCAAGAGCTTCCAACGCCGCTTGACTGTCCAAGAATATTTTTATTGACTTTCTCAAATGGTAACTATCTCAAATAGTTACTTTATAATTTTGATTTATGAAAGTGTTTTGACAGCTTTGATTGGCAGTTTACAATTCAGTAAACAATTGTAATATTTCCAAAGGTTCTTCCAGGTTTTATTGCCCCTATTCAAACTAAAATTATTGAATTTTGGATAACTCCAAAGAAAAATATATGTTTTTAGCTCACTAGCAATACCTTTAAATTCTTCATCTGAGGTAGTAAATTTCCGGTGACCAATCTGTGTTGAATAACCTGATTTAACCTAAGCAGAGTATTTCTCTTTTCGCTTGGTGTAATGGGATCTGGTGGTACAATTTTTTCACGAATGCAAGCTGGCAATCGCCCATAGGTACCAGTTGTAAGTACTTCCACCGCTGCAGGAATGTGAAAATTTGGAAGACGTGCTTGCACCAAAGTCTCTCTAGCCATCCTTGCCAGCATGTCAGCTGTCTCGACAAACAATAGGGACTGTTTATCCAAAAAGTTCATGATTCTCTGGAAAAAGTGAAATGTTAATGATAATTATTTATTCAAATATGCAACCTATTATATACACACAAGATAATGTTACAATAAAAACCAATCCTGACAAACACATAGTAGCATGAAAATGCACATCAGGTATTCGAACACATTCATTGTTCCTCTTTTACAACTTTTTGAAAGAAACAATTAACAAGTGTGGAAATGTATTGAGCAAAGTAGTTAATTTGGAAAAATATATTTTGATTAACAAACAGTAACAGAAAAAAATATATATCTTTGTATGATAAGTTCTGGTAAATGATTTTGTTACTTGGAGCAAATAGCAAAATTGCCCAAATGGCCACAAAAATTCTCACTGACGCTTATAATTATGAAAATGAATTCTATATTGAGGATTCTTTTGATTTTTCCAATTCTATAAATGAAAAATCATTACCTCCAGGTTATATTCTGATCAGCCTTGATGTGATTTCACTTTTCAGCAATATACCTATAAATCTAGTGAAGAAAAGTGTTATCAAAAGATGGAATAATATAAATAAACAATGTTCAATAAACCAAAAAAAAAATATTGAAATAATTAAGTTCATCTTCAACTCAAGTTATTTCTTCTTCGAAGATGAATACTATAAACAAATTCTTGGTACACCAATGGGAGCTACTATTTCCCCTGTTATAGCTCAATACGTAATGGACGATCTTTTTGAAAACATACTTCCCAAACTAAGTTTTAAAATTCTCTCTTCAAAGAANTTTGTGTCTGAAAGTTACTTCTTTGCATGATCTACACATCCATGTATAGAGTTACTTATTTTCAAATTGATTACTTCCTTCCTTTCTTTGGAAGATTCCCTCATCCTTATTTTGTATCAAGATGGAGTAGTAAAAAGCAAAAAACTTTCTTTTTCAATTTATTGTTTTTTACTTATTTTTACTGTATGATTTGTAATGTTTTTCAATGGTGAAAAAAACTCATAACTGAATAAATTAGAGCAGAGTTTTGATTTGATTTTTTGACTGGCTATTGGCCTCATCAGCGCGGTGCAGCCAATTGTAAAGATGGCCAATTGCCAGAAACACGTGTCCGTGGTTTGCCCACATCTATATCTCTGTATTTATATCCTGGATCCGGAAGTCACGCAGGTAGCTATAGCTGCCTACGTGGTGATGTTAGATGATGCCTGGGAATGCA